GTAGGTGATGGGAAAGACCTCTGCCTGAGACCCTGGAGAGCCATGGGGAGGGGCTGTGGTTCAGTCAGTAGGGATGTGCACCAAATGCACCCCCGAAAATGGCCCATTCGGACACCTTTCGGGCTGCTGCAGGCCAATTCAGATTCTCTGATCTGAATTGGCTTGCCACCGAATTGCCGCCGAAGTTCGGTGTAGTGGTTAAGTGCGCGGACTCTAATCTGGGAGAACCGGGTTTGATTCCCAACTCCTCCACTTGCAGCTGCTGGATGACCTTGGGTCAGTCACAAGTTCTTTCGGAGCTGTCCTTGAAGAAAGAGTAGTTTCTGTCAGAGCTCTCTCAGCCCCACCTACCTCACAGGGTGTCTGTTGTAGGGAAGGGAAAGGATCCCTGGGCCCAACTGGCCTGGAGAAAAATTGCTTCTGGACCCCATGGTGGTGATCAGCATTTCCCTGTATGTATGTATGTAAGAAAGGGCCACGAGAACTAAGCACTGAGGCAACCCTTCCTGCCCTCCCTCTTGTGACCTTCCCAAGTTCACAGAATCAACATGGCTGTCAGATGGCCATCTAGCCTCTGCTTAAAAAGCTCCAAGGAGAGCCCACCCCCTCCCGAGGAAGCCTGTTCCACTGAGGAACTGCTCTAATTGTCAGGACGTTCTTCTTAACGGTTTGCCGAAAACTCTTTTGATTTAATTTCAACCCGTCGGTTCTGGTCCGACCTTCTGGGGCAACAGGAAACAGTTCCAAACCATCCTTTCTATGAGAGCCCTTCAAGGACTTGAAGATGGTTATCACATCACCTAAGTAATATCAAAAACACATGTATTTATTGTCAGAGGGTTAAAAACGTTTATGGGCCCAACTGTAGCCTCATTACGGAATAAACATTTCCTAAACCCAAGTGGGAACTATTGTGACCCGATACATTTCGGCCATAATTTTTTTTTTTAATCTTTATTTTTTTATGTAACGTTTTATGTGTATTACATGTTAACTTTGGTCCCGTACATTACATATCGCTTTATAAACCCTCTCCCTCCCCCCGCCCTTCCCTTGCTATTCTAGTTCACTAGTCCTTTAAAATTCCAGCCACGGGCACAACGTCCGAATCTTGCACTGAACGTCTTCTCTTCCTTCTGTTAGTATCCATTCTAGGTCGGTCTTCCATTTCATTCTGATTTCTGTGGTCTTTTCTGCCCATATGGTCTTCCGGCTCAGCTTCGCGATTATGTCCGACTGTATAAAATCAAACAAATAGTTATGCCAGATTTCTACTGTCCATTTACTCTTGTCCTTCCAGCCCAGAGCAATCACTGCTTTACTTGCTAATATCATAGCTTTAAATGTAGCTTGATTCTCCTTACTTACTGCTGGGTTCCCAATTGCACCCATTAGCATTAGATTAAAGTTTATGGTCAATGAAACTTTACATGTTTTCCCTATAATTTGTATAATTTTTGTCCAAAAAGCTCTAGTCTCTGGGCATTCCCACCACATGTGGGAAAACCAGCCCTGACCCTGATTACAGTGCCAACACATGGGGCTCGCTCCTGGGAACATATTTGCCAACTGCGCTGGTGTACCATTTTGTGAAAAATTTATACTCCATTTCATTAAATTTAACCACTTTAATTTCCTCTATTCCCTTCATAATTTTGTTTGCCGTATTTTCTGTTATCTGACCTTCTTTCATCCAAGCTTTTTTTGTAAATAGGTTATTGTCTTATCTTTATCTGATATCATTTTCCTGTAAATTTTCCCTGCTAGTCCTTGTTTTGACTTTTGCATCCCTTTGTATATTTCTTCTATTGGTTCCTCTGACCAGATTTCTTCTTTATCTTTTTTACCATACGATGGAGTGCTGTTATTTTAAGCCAATGTTGCTTACCTATTTCTTCGACTATTTCATATACCGGTTTTAGATTGCCTTGCCTAAACATGTCTCCCAATCTATAATACCCTTTAGATCTTAGCAACTGCCACCATTTATTTTCGCTTATCTCGCTATGGATGGACTCTATTGGTGCCCATCTTGAGTTCCTTCTTAACTATGTGGGCTGCCATTTACTCCAGGCTTCTAGTGCTGAATGTCTGGTTCCTTTAACTGATTTAAGGTCTTTTCCAGTAACTCTAGAGAAGATCCCAAATTGCCCTATGTTGTTATTGACCTCATTCTCAAATCTGACCCATTTCTGCTCCTTACCTTCACCTATCTCTAATAACTGCTTGACTGGAAAAGCTTCATAATAGCTCCTCAACTCGGGGACTCCCCAACCCAACTCCGCCTTGTGACTATATACCAGCCTTTTTTGGGTTCTACATTTTTTGTTGCCGAATATCCACTCTCTAATCTACTTATTCCATTGTTCTGGTTTGTTAATATTGGTCCCTAGTGGTATCGACTGAAATAGGTATATTAATTTTGGTATCCAAAACATTTTGACGCTCCTAATTCTAGTGGATATACCTAAGGTTTTATTTATCCACTTCCCCATTTCCTTCTCAATTTTCTTCCATATCATGTTGTGGTTAAGTTCTGAAATTCTATCAATATTCTTTTGTAATACTATACCGAAATATTTGAGCTTTTTAATGTCCATTCCCATGCTTGTGATTTTATTTCTTTTTTTCCTCTTTACACTCACATTAAGATACATAATTTCTGATTTAGCCATGTTGACTCTTAAACCTGAACAGCCTTCAAAATCCTCTAATATAATTTTTACTTCTTTTATCGCTTCTTTAGGGTTTGTCATGACGACTATAATGTCGTCTGCGAATAGATTAATTTTCATTTCTTACACTATTTCTTATTCTTTCTGCTAGCTGTTCTATTGCTGTGATAAAAAGAAGCGGTGAGAGTGGGCATCCCTGCCGGACCCCTCTCTGAATCTGGAACATTTCGGCCATAATAGGACTTCTTCAGTGGTCGAAGTAATATCTGTACATAAAGGCTCAGGATACAATAGTAAAACAATTTACATGTCGATGTGGGACCAAAAAAAATAAGTCCTTCCAATGTTGGCTCTGACCGGTTGTTTCTGCCTGTATGTTCTGGACCAAAATTGGAAGGACTTTCTACTGTTTTACTACTGCATCCTGAGCGTTTATGTACATATCTTTCTTTGTCCGCTGAAGGCGGCTTACTAGGGTCGAAACGCGTCGGGTCACAATAGTTCCCACTTGTGTTCAGTGTTCCCTCTAAGCTGAGTTAGTGCGAGATACCTCAGTTTTTTAGCCTCCGGCTCAGCCATTTTTGTCTCAGCTCAGGAAGGAGGGCTCCAGAGCAAACTGATTGATGCAGTAGCCAAATTACTCGCTCACGGCTTTAATGCCAGTAACTCCCAAAGTAGAATTTTTGCTCACAAGACTCCACAGTTTAGAGGGAGCATGAGGAAATTTTTATTCTGTAATGAGGCTACGGTTGGGCCCATAAATGTTTTCAACCCTTTAACAATAAATACATGTATTTACTTAGTTTATATATAGGAGCTGTGGTGGCTCAAGTGGTTAAGATGCTGAACTGCAGGCTGTAGAAGGTCAGTAGTTCAGCAGTTCGAGACCCGGGTGCCGCATGATGGAGTGAGCTCCCATCTCTAGTTCCAGCTCCTGCCAACCTAGCGGTTTGAAAGCAAGAAATTGCAAGTAGATAAATAAGTACCATTTCAGTGGGAAGGTAACAGCATTCCGTGTGCCTTGGTGTTTAGTCATGGCGGCCACATGACCACGGAAACATCTTCGGACAGCGCTGGCTCTTCGGCTTTGAAACGGAGATGAGTACCACAACCCTAGGGTCGGACTCGACTGGCTTTCGAGCAAGGGAACCTTTACCTAGTTTATATATAAGGGCCACGGTGGCTCAGAGATTAAGATGTTGAACTGCAGACCAGAAGGTCAGTAGTTCAGCAGTTGGAGACCCGAGTGCCGCGTGACGAAGTGAGCTCCTGTCTCTAGTTCCAGCTCCTGCCAACCTAGCAGTTCGAAGGCAAGAAACTGCAAGTAGATAAATAGGTACCGCTTCGTGCCGGCCACATGACCACGGACAGCGCTGGCTCTTCGGCTTGGAAACGGAGATGAGCACTGCCCCCTAGACTGGCTTTCGAGCAAAGGAAACCTTTACATTACTAGTTTATATATACATACACTGTTTTTAATAATTGGCCCTATCCCTGGTTCGTAACTAACATTCTTGGTTCCTGATTCAAAACTTTTTTTGGTTTGCCGCCCCCCCCCCGCCTTTCCTTCTCTTTAGATTTGGGGGCAGAGCCTGGGGAGGAAGCGCAGTGGGGTCCAGTGCCATAGAATCCCCCCACCACAGCAGCCATTGTCTCCAGGGGAGATCAGTCCTAATTCCAGGATCTCCAGGCCACACCTGGAGGCTGGCGACCCTAGACAACTGGCATGAAATGGATAGACGTTCATAGTGTTGCTCTGCACTACCACTGTACAAAAAGAGGCTGGACCAGCTAGGGTTGACAGGTCTGGGTTGGGAAATACCTGGAGACTTTGGGGGTGGATCCGGGAGAGGGCGGGGTTTGGGGAGGGGAGGGGCCTCAGCAGGGTCCAAGGCCACGGAGTCCACCCTCCAAAGCAGCCCTTTTCTCCAAGGGAGCTGATCTCTGTCGGCTGGAGATCAGTTGTAAAAGCGGGAGACCTCCAGGCCCCACCTGGAGGCTGGCAACCCTAGGATCAGCAGAGGAACTGACAGAGCAAAATGGACTCGTAGGGTTGCCAAGTCTGGGTTGGGAAATACCTGGAGATTTGGGGGATGGATCCGGGAGAGGGCGGGGTTTGAAGAGGGGAGGGGCCTCAGCGTGGTAAAATGCCATAAAGTCCACCTTTCAAAGGAGCCATTTTTTCCAGGGGAGCTGATCTCTGTCAGCTGGGGATCACTTGTAAAAGCAGGAGATCCCCAGGCCCCACCTGGAGGCTGGCAGCCTTAAAATGAAGGCAGCTGAGCTGACCGGCGTTGACTCTTGTCTTCTTGCTCCCCCGTGCAGGTGAGCGAGGACTGGAAGTACGTGGCCATGGTGATCGACCGCCTCTTCCTGTGGATCTTCATCTTCGTCTGCGTCTTCGGCACCGTCGGCATGTTCCTGCAGAAAACTACGCCTCCAACTCTCTGCTGCAGCTGAACCACGGCGTGCCCGGCTCCAAATAGCCGGAGGGTCCCCCCCTCCCTCTTCTCTAGCAGCCCTCCATGGAGAAGAGACACCCCGCCGGACCGTTCAAGGGACCGTGGGCCCTCCCTCCCTTTGGACTTTGCTTTAGTACCAGGAACGAAGCCTGTTTGGGGAAGGGGAACCCGCTAAGAAGGACGGTGCCGAGCAGCCGTCGGTGCGCATCAGTTCGTAGCGAATGGCCACGGGGACACCTCGAAGTTTCGGAACGGCTCTTGCAATGCATTCGACGGAGGCCGAACGTTCGCTTCCATGGTGGTCTTACGGCCGAACGTTCGCTTCCATGGTGGTCCTACTGCCACGCGGGGCGTCTTGAAAGAGGACTGTAGCTCCCCCCTCCCCACTGCGCCCTGGCTTGTGCCAATTACGGGGTACCAGCTCCCAAACTCAGGGATTTAAAAGAAAATACCCTACATATTTCGAGGAACAGCAACCGGGTTGCGTAGGGCAGGTCTCTGCCCCCGTCGAGACAGCGTCACAACCAGTTCTGGTGAAAGCCACGGCCATCCGTATGGCGACTTCACCAAAGGGGCATTTAGTAGCCCCCCCCTCCAGGGGAGTCCATAGGGCTCCCCTCTTTTCCCACAATCAGGAAAACCGCAAGGTAAGGGGGTGGGGGAAGAGACCCACCTGTCTGCTCCACCCCACCCGCCTCCCCGTCCCTCTAGGTTCTTCCATCTCCCCAACCAGATTGATGTCAAGGTCACCCTAACCGGAGCGTGCTCTTGGAGTCTCCCGGGAACAGAGGATTTCTCCACCAGACCACCACCAGCGGCCTCGGCAGAGAGACCAAAGCATTCTCACCACATAGGCATTGACTGTGTCCCCCTCCCCGGCCCCGCAGCCGATGCTGTCACAGTTAAACCAATAAAATAGGTCACATAGAAGGAACGTGGTCCTCATTTCGGGTGAGGGAAGGGAACCGGCAGACTGTGGAGGGGTGTTTGGAAACCCCGCGGACTGAGAGGGATTTCGTGGTGGAGGGCTGTGCGTTAGCAAGAGGGGCGAGGCTCATAATGAACACACACTAATGCGTAGATATGGCCGTTCGTTCTGCAGGCCTCGGCTTTTGCAGCTTTTGATTTCCATTTCTAGTTCTCAGAGCCAGTGTGGTGCCATGGTTAAGAGCGGTGGACTCTAATCTGGGAGAACCGGGTTTGATCCCCCACTCCTCCACATGCAGCTGCTGGTGTGACCTTGGGTCAGTCACAAGTTCTCCCAGAGCTGTGGTCTCAAGGGCAGTCCTCGAGAGAGCTCTCTCAGCCCCACCTACCTCACAGGGCGTCTGTTGTGCGGAGAGGAAGGGAAAGGAGATCGTAAGCCGCTCTGAGACTCCTTCGGGTAGTGAAGGGCGGGGCATAAAACCTCCTCCTCCTCCCCTGAAAATGTGGAAGTGAGGTAGAGTGTGGACTTGTGGGGGGCCAGAGAGGGGTTGAAAGTGTAAGCCAGGAGTCCCCAGCCCTTTTCAGCCTGTGGCCACCTTTGGAATTCTGCCCCGGGGCAAAATGGCTGCCACAAAATGGCCACCACCATATACCTTCAGTCACACATTGTGCTGTGGTGGCAGCTACTGGCAAAGCAACATCTTTAGAGCTTTTTAGCTCTAAAATGTTTTTAGAGTTTGATTCCTCACGCCTCCACTTGCAGCTGCTGGTGTGACCGTGGGTCAGTCACAAGTTCTCTCAGAGCTGTTCACTCAAGAGCAGTCCTCGAAAGAGCTCTCTCAGCCCCGCCTACCTCACAGGGTATCTGTTGTGGGGAGGGGGAGGGAAAGGAGTTTGGAAGCCGCTCTGAGACTCCGAGTGAAGGGAGGGGTATAAATCCAATCTCCTCCTCCTCCTCTTCTTTTAAAAGCGAGTGAGCCGATTAAATCTCCAGCAGCTAATCAGGAACCTTGCTGGGCAAAAGCCCCCCCCCCCTCCACTTTCTAAAAACACTTGGCGGGCACAAGGAAAGGGGATGGCAGGCACATGGCACCCGTGGGCTCCTCTGGTGTAAGAAATCCCAAGCCAAGTCCTGTGGCATGAGAGCAGAAGTCTCTGGAAAGGTGTTTTTTTTTTTTAAAGTTACCTCCAGATTTAGATCAAGACGGGGAGCCGTGTGAGTCTGTCTGCAGCCGTAGAAAAGAGCAAGAGTTCAGCAGCACCTTCAAGACGAACAAAATTGGTGGCATGGGGGGAGCTTTCAGGAGTCACGGCTCACTTCTTCAGAAAAACCTGAAGTAGAAAAGAGCCTCGCTTCTAAGATCGGACGAGATCGGGCTCGCCTGGGCCGTCCAGGTCACGGCAAGAGATGAGCCGAGGTGGTTTGCCCTTGCCTGCCTCTGCGCAGCAACCCTGGCCTTCCTCGGTGGTCTCCCATCCAAATCCTAAGCTGACCCTGCTTAGCTTATAAGATCTGATGAGATCGGGCTGGCCTGGGCCGTCCAGCTCAGGGCTCCCTGTGCCACTGCCGCATTTACACTCTCTGCCCAACTTAACACCCCGGCACCAGCAGTGGCTCAAGTGGTTAAGACGCTGAACTGCAGGCTGTGGAAGGTCGGTAGTTCAGCAGTTCCAGACCCGAGTTGCCACATGACGGAATGAGCTCCCATCTCTAGTTCCAGCTCCAGCCAACCTAGCAGTTGGAAAGCAAGAAATTGCAAGTAGATAAACAGGGACCACTTCGGTAGGAAGGGAACAGCGTTCCGTGCGCCTTGGCGTTTAGTCATGCCGGCCACATGACCACGGAAACGTCTTCGGACAGCGCTGGCTCTTCGGCTTTGAAACGGAGATGAGCGCCGCAACCCTAGAGTCGGATTTGACTGGCTTTCGAGCAAGGGAACCTTTACCTTTACCTCCTTCTTGCATAAACAGCTCCCCCTCCCGAACCCTCCATCACCCCACCGCTTTGAGCTCCAAACTGCAGCATCATTCACTTCCTTCCAGCAGAAGCGGCCAATCACCCCCAAACACGTAGCATGTGACAAGCCTTGGCTGAGCTGCCCGGAAAAGGGCCCGCTCTGCCCTCTCCTTCCCAAAGAAGGTGGCAGTTTCCTGGCCTTTCGGAAAGGCAGCAGATGGTTGGCAGAGTTTCCAAAGCCGGCGTGGCTCCAGCCAGGTGCCAGCGTGCTCCAGCAGGCCCCAGGCAACCAGAGACCCCACACGCTGCTCCGCTGTCATTGGGGGCTCCTCCGGGGCCCGTTCCCCAGCCAAGCTACGGCCTGGCTCGTTCCCCCCAACAGCGAGTGGCATTGGCTTCGAAAGCTGCTCTGCCACTGGCTGGGTTGGTACCAAACCCAGCTGGGTTGCAGCTGGCAGCACTGCAAGCCCAGGAGGTGATGAGGGCGACAAAGGGACTGGGGACTGCTGTCGCTTGCAAATAAGAACAACAGGGACTGAGCTATAAAACTATGAGGGCCCCCCCGAAATGCAGATATTCAGCTCCGACTTCAAGAAGGATGTGGACAGAGTGGAGGAGCTGCCGAGGAGGGTGACGAGGGTGATTGGGGGCCTGGAGACCAATAAGCCCTGGGAGGAAAGGCCGAGGGACTTGGGCATGTTGAGTCCGGAGCAGAGGAGGTTGAGGGGGGACAGGATGACTCTCTTGAAGTATCTGAAGGGCTGTCCCTTAGAAGAGGGCAGGGAGCTGTTCCTGAGAGCCAGTCTGGTGTAGTGGTTAGGAGCAGCGGACTCTACTCTGGGAGAACCGCGTTTGATTCCCCACTCGTCCATGTGCAGCTGCTGGTGTGACCTTGGGTCAGTCACACGTTATTTCAGAGCTTTTCTCTCAAGGGCAGTCCTCGAGAGAGCTCTCTCAGCCCCGCCTGCCTCACGGGGTGTCTGTTGTGGGGAGGGGAAGGAGATTGTAAGCTGCTCTGAGACTCCTTCGGGTAGCGAAAGGCAGGGATATAAATCCAATCTCATTTTCTTTTTCTGTTGGCAGCAGAGGACTCGCAAGAATGAGGGTGGGAAGGTACTGGCTTGATCTTAGGAAAAACTTATTTGCAGTAAGAGTGGTTCATCAGTGGAATGGGTGGCCTCGGGAGGTGGTGGGCTCCCCCTGACTGGCAGTCTTCAAGTAGCGGCTGAACAAACACTTGTCCGCAGGGCTATTTTTGGGCAGGAACGGAGTTCCGGCTGGCTCCCAAATTGGCCACGCCCAGCAGGAACTCATTAGCATAATAGGCCACACCCAACAGCAGAAACTCATTAGGATTGGCTACATTAGGGTTGTGTGGCCTAACATGCAAAGGAGTTCCTACTCCAAAAAAAGGCCCTGGGTTTGGACCACAAACAAGGTAAACAGAATAAGAAGCAAAAGGTGGGTGTGGCTGGATGACCACACTTCTGGTAACATGGGGGTGTGGCCTAATATGCTAATGAGCAGTGCAGTCAGGGGGTGTGGCCTAATGTGCTAATGAGTTTCTGCTTCTGGGTGTGGCCTATTATGCTAACGAGTTCCTGCTGGACTTTTTCTACCAAAAAAGCCCTGCTTGTCAGGGATGCTCTCGGATGGTCCTGCACTGAGCAGGGGGTGAGACTAGATGGCCTGTGGGACCCCGTCCGATTCTGGGATTCTATTCCACATAGAAGGCAAGACTGAGGAGATGGAGGCAGGTGTCTTGCTGGAGGAAAGGGAGGCAAGAGAGGAGACTTTGTCGTGCATCCACACTGCCTGTGGCAACTGAAAACCAGGGCCGAGTCGCCCAGAATAATCAGGGACAGAAGGAATTAATCCCCGTTCCCCAAGAGGGTGGTGGCCCTAGCCAAAAACCAGGGGTCTGAAAGTAAGGGTGGAAAGCGCAGTCCAGTCGCAGCCGACGTCCGGTGACCTTACAGGATTTTCAAGCCGAGAGACAAACGGAGGTGGTTTGTGAACGCCTGCCTCTCCGTAGCAACCCTGGACTGCCTTGGTGGTCTACCAACCCGGGCCAACCCTGCTTAGCTTCTCATATCTGAGGGCATGAGGCTAGCCTGGGCCATCCAGGTCAGGACCAAAC